GACTAGCGCTTGGGAGGTCCCCGGTGCCGTTGTCAGCGGTGGGCTATCCGTTGAGTATGGATGTCCATTTGGTCGCTGATCTGGTCGACTTGCAGGCTTCCCATGGCACTCGTTATCTCAGGACTCTGTCGTGGTCGATGTTGGAGGTGGGATAGGCTCAACGTCGCTCATGCTCGCGCACGCGTTCCCGCATCTGCGGTTCTTGGTGCAGGATCGGCCACAAGTCGCTACGATGGGAGAATCCGTGAGTGACTTCTGGGTATAGTGTGATTGTAGAGCTCATTTGCGCGGAAGGCTTGGAGAGATAGATGTCCGCAATTCCTGGAGACAGGCCGCGCGGCCTTCCAAGGGCACGACTTTTTCGGTCCTCAGCCTGCATGGCCTACCTCGCTGCGAGAGACATCTGGCAGACCTGCTAGCGAGGACGTACCAGCAGTGTTCCTCCTTCGTGTGATCACGCATGATTGGCCGGATCTGTATGTCACAAGGTGAGTTGCGACTCCTGAGTGTTACCGCATCCGCTGATGTAGTGTTCGGTGTAGAATCCTCCTCCATCTCCGTCGCGCCGCGGGTCCAGATACGAAGCTTCTGTTGGCAGACTGGGTTCTGCCCTTAGCTTGCATCGACGAGGATTCAGACCCAGGGTCCCCTCGGCAAGGGTTGAGCATGCTAGATAAGATGAGAGTCCCGGCTCTTCCGGGGACTGTGCGGACGCTTGCTCCCGAGGGATCACCGCTGCTTCCTAACCTTGGCAAGGCGAATGCGAACGCTTACTGGTTGGACTTGACCGTACGTCAAATCAGGTGACATCCTTCAGCTTATTGACACCTACTCATCAGATGCGGGTTACTTTCAACTCGCACGAGCGTACACTCCGCGAGATGGCCGCACTCACTCTCACGGCGGGCTGGCGCATCGTACGGGTGACGAGGGCTGAGGGGTCGCTGTTTGGACACATCATTGCCGTTCCTACAGACATCCCTCGTGAAAATCTCCCGTTGTTGGACGCTCCACTGCCAGCTCAGACGCCTCTTGTTGACGTGGAAGGTCAGTCTTCGAAGTCCCTTACGGTGTCCCGTGATACTGATCCGTCTTCGACTGCTACAGAAATGACGAAGTCTCCCGAGATGGGAGACACGTTTTGTTCATCTGTCGCGTTGCCGTCGGACGAAGACGTCCGGAAGGTTGTCAAGGCTGGGCGCAAAGCTGCGCAGGGCTGGCAGGTGCGCGCGAGCGAGTGGCGCCAGAGGTTGGTGAAGAAGAGTTCCGCGATGTGGAGGGACAGAAAGAACTCTGCCGTGCAGGAGCAGATCCCTCCTATCCCGCTCGCCACAGGCTTGCCGGTCGAGCTGTTGCCTGCGGCGGAGTTAGGTATGGGGGCATTAAAGGCGAGTAATGCTGATGTCGTGGGTGCAGAAGGTATTGGGCATGCTGGGCCTGGCAGGACCGGAAAGATGGATGAGTTGAGAGTATGCGAAAACGATGAGAAAGATAGGAAGAAGGTTTCGGGCTTGAGGAAGGTCTTTTCTCGAGCTCAGCTGAACGTAGGGGAACATAGATAGTGTGCACTTTAACTTACACAATCACTTGTCTGCTTCAACCGTCCAAGTTAACCACTGTGTTTGGCGACTGCTTCTAGAGCGATCAGTAAGTGTACACGTACGCTCATTGGCAGAACGAAGTAAATTCGGTAAACTACGCTTATAACAGCTCAGGTCACATGTGACAGGATGTCCTCGCCACTGCTCGAGTCACGTTGGATGGGCCCAATGTTCAATATCAATATTCAATAGCGACTCGGACTTGCCATCTACCATCTACTAACTTTTGCATCTCACTCGGGCTATTACTTTGCGAAACAAATACGTCCATTGTTAATTATGCCTATCCATGAAGAGGAGGGCTCGATAGGGAATGTAGGGTGACGTCCGACTCGGAACTTTTCAAGCCGACGGAATCGTTTGCCCAGGTATGTAGTCACCTCTCGTAATATGCATGATCGCCCTCAGCCTCTGGGCCTCACTCATATCATCCTGCTCAGTTATTCCATCATATCCTTGAGGTCAAACGTGCATCCGTGGTGTGAACTGGTGCCATTTGGTGGCAGCATGCACCGTATACAGTGTGCGATAATGACCGATAAATCCCACCGGAAAAGTCAACGACGATGCAGGTCCCAGGATATGCAAGAGTCAACTGTCATGCACTCTAGAGTGCGATTCACGGTTCGATGGGCCCCGAGCCCCGAACATACTTTAAAGACGGTTGGGTCTATGGCAATGAAAGCAGGACGTGACCCCGTAAGTCACTGCGGTGATGATGGTCCAGAACACCTGCTCAGAGAAAGCCCAGTACGTTTACCTTTGTTTGGTCTCCGTTCTTGCCCGCATAACTATCCATTGTTTCCATAAGCAGGTGACAATGCAGTTAATTGGACGCCGGGAGATTGTCCGTTGCTGGGTAGACACGTGCCCAGCAACGACCCTGAGCTGCGAGTCCCGCGACAACACGGTCCATTTCTTCCCAAGACTAGATGGCGGTTTAGATAGCCAGAATCTCTCAGCGCGTACGGCGATCCGAACAGCCTCCAGAGTATCACGCAAACTTCGGTATCCAGAGCGGGGTTTCAGTATCTCACAAAGAGACAGCATCAATCGGCCGATTATCAGGGTACGTTTGTGCTGTATTCAACGCTTGAGTAATTAGAGTGCTTACCTTGTCGATATAGGGCCGCTGAGTTGATGACGAAGTCCGACGATAGCCCATCAACGCGATCACGCGGCCGAACCGATCTATGTTCGTGCCACATCTTGGTTCTTGCTCACGTACCGCTTTGATGCCTATCAGTCCTAGAAGCTCAAGCATACCGGAGGAGGCAATTAGCCAGTGCTGCTCATCTGCACGCGTGATGAAGCAACATAATGTGAAGTGGGTGCCACACAAAACACCGTGTATCCCGTCTCACACATTGTACATCTTCAGTCAACCAGTCAGCCACCCCGAACGACCTTCTGTCCCGAATAATGAACACCTCGGACCCCTGTCTACATCATTCAGTGGACTCTCCATCTCACAACCCCTGGTCCAGGAAGCGCCCTCCGCTTTCCCGCCGACGCCCGAAGCTCTCCCCAAGCCCGACCTAGTCCGCCCAAATATACGCCCTAGCGATATGTCTTTTGTCATAGATTGTTTCCAGGACCTCTCTGTAGCACAGGAGATGCCACAAACGGACCTCTCTCAACTTCTCTACGGATTTGGGGAGATCAACATCTCCCAACCGATGCCCGACAACGAGCTATCCTCGCTATTGGACTCCTTCCAACGCGTCTCATGCCAGGATCCGGTGTACACCTCAGCATATGGTAGTGACGACAGCAATACAGCCGTCTCGCCTTTATGTAGTCCAGAGGAAGCGCAGAGCGTCATCGCGTCCCTCCAGGCGCTTCTTCAGCACCGTCCCGATCTAGCGACCGACATGCTCACGAAATGCCCGGATGCCTTCCCTAGCATCAACTCGGCGTACTGGCGCCAGCTCCTCAGCCAGACTGCGAACTAGCCGGTAGTCGTGCCGACCCCGCAATACCACCTTCCACCATCATAACGATACCTCCGACCCAAAAGCAATACCACCCATCCGGGCGATACCTCCAACCCAAGCGACCACCCATCCAAGCGATACCCCCGACCCTAGCAATGCCTCCGACCCAGCGATATCTCCGACATTCAGTATCATGGCTTGACATCACGTATGACAGACATGCCGCCAATGTTGTGAGTGGACGACAAGAGAAATGCAAGTAGTGCACAATGCTACTATGGGCTTCCCCAGACAACGAACGAACCTCATGCGCAATGCAACCCCGCTTCCGCCAATCCCCGCTTGCTGTGTCAAAAACAAGATCCATGGTCCATCATCCGCGCTGTCTTCCTTTTGCCTTCCCATTGCACCATGCATCTTCAATGTCAACTGTGCGGTGATGCCACACGTGTGGCCTGTTTCTCCGACTCGAGGGCTCCGCGGTTCACCACTCTCGGGCCTCGGCCGGCTCGTCGTACTACTGACGCTAGCTTCTGCGATGAGCTGCGAACCAGCCTGCGACGCACTCCCAACTATGAATCCACGCCTCAGACTTTCGAACCCTCTAGACTGGCCTTACGCCTACTCCATACCCGACTCGAACTTGAAAATGACGCCCGGTCGCGCAAAGCCTCTACTGACGATACTTATGCTCTCTGTTCCCGCTCTTTTTGCTCTGACTGCACATCGTTATGCTATCGCAATCAAGCTGCTTCTATATATAATAATCCTGCTGTTTCTCAATGAAGCTAGTCCACGTGTTCCTCGTGCTCGACGAGAAGGACCACTACACTACACTTGACCCCTACACCGAGTACGTCCGCCTGATTCACAATGGCTAGAATTATGTGGGAACTGACGTCGCTCTTACCACAGCATTCACTCTACCTGCCTTGAAAACCCCCTCCGACGTCAACGGTCAGCGAGGCGAAACACAAACTCGGTGTCCAATATCAAGTCGTCTCTGCATGGGAATTCTGCTACGTAGCACCCCAAGACGTTCTCAGCCTGGTGACACTCATTACACTTCACAAGCTTCATTTGATGCTGTTTTCAAGTTGCTGGTTGAAATGCAGACATTATAAAATAGGAAGCGGAAGCAAGTCGGACGCGAACGACCGTAGTAATTGGCTCGCGTCCGAGTCCGAGGACCGTCCGGTGGTTCAATGCAGTGTTACGCAGTGTTCATCTGGTGCATGCCAGATTGTTGTGGTCTATATGACACATTGTATGTAATTGTCGAGAAGACGATGATGTATTCATCCACAAGGGTAAGGTGTAGTGATGCATGGTGATGAACTTAGCGACAGAGTAGAAGACAAAGGAGGCGAATCTCACAGTAATAATCACCATCTTCACTCCGTACAACCAAAGTATCAGTGGATAGGGATGATAGGTGGGTCGTTTGGGCAAACAAAATGTTTGCCTCCTGCCTGATTCGAACAAGTGACCTCGTCATGTGATTGGCTACGATTTAGCCGCATACTAGTGACGCGCTCTACCACTGAGCTAAGAAGGCTTGTTGTATAAGTTGTGCCATCTAGTATAATATGGTCACTGAAATAAGTCATTTGATATGGTCAATCTTGTAAGCCTATGAGTGAGTTCAGTCCCTCGATGGTATTTTCATGTCCTTCAGAACAAGACCCAAGTAGGTGATACCAGTATCCATCTCTGCTGTGGCTGTCATTGAAGCCACGCACAAGGATTGTCCAATCCTATTATTTAATTTTGACATAGAATACTCCCACGATGTACTCTTGTCGTAATTGACCCAATGTATCGGTGCGGCTGTTCTCCGACGGTCTATCCTTCCAACCTCTTTCCGCCATGGCTGGGCTCCCCAAGGTTCGTCGTGAAAGTCCTCATGCACAGCATGCAACACATTCACATCCGCTCTCGTCACTCCTAGCGTATCATCAAGGTACGCAGCGACCACCTGGACTACAAGCGAGTGTCGCCTGACCGCTGTGGCACAACTCATGTCTTATCCTTTCGGGACGATGTATACAGGAAACGGAGCGGCTTGTAGCAGATCCGGCACCTGGAATCACTGCGCTACCACACGAGGATAATCTGCGATACTTTGACGTTACGATCCAGGGCCCCGATGGCAGTCCATTCGCGAGTGCGCCTCCCATTTACGCTCAACAAAGACCGTGCTGATGCACCTCTCTGCAGGTGGTGTGTTCAGGCTAGAACTCTTTCTGCCGGAGGAGTACCCCATGGCACCGCCCAAGGTGCGCTTCCTTACAAAGATTTACCATCCGAATATCGGTGCGTTCCGTCTCAGCCTCATGCGTTGTGAGAGCATGGCGCTAAGTCTCGGGGCTCTGGATACAGACAAATTAGGTCGGATCTGTTTGGATATCCTTAAGGGTACGCGTGCATGACTTTCAGCCCCACGACGCCCGCCTCATTTCGTATGGTTGCAGACAAGTGGTCTCCAGCGCTCCAGATACGAACTGTCCTACTCTCCGTCCAAGCGCTCCTCAGCTCGCCGAACCCCGACGACCCCCTGGCGACCGACGTCGCTAAGCATTACAAGGAGAATGAGAAGGATGCCCAGCGCGTCAGCCGGGAGTGGACGGAAAAGTACGCATCAGCTTAAACTTTCCGGGGGAGATAGAAGTGGTATGCAATGTGTTGTAGGACTAGGTGTGTTAAGTATGTTCCCCGAGGCTACTCTTGATAGGGAGTCGATACAGTCACCACGGATGCTCTGGTCGCGCATAGAGCTTTTGTCTCTCAGTATGTTCTGCCCTTGCTGTCTCGGTGGTTTCGAGTGTAGTTCTCCTGTCCAATGTCGCGGCGGCGCCGATGCGCGATATCTGATGCTGCGCATCGGTGGGTGCGATGCAGGGGAATGTTTGCACGAGCTGATTTGGTTCTCGCGCGTGTTCACCGATGACGGAATGGGTTCAGGTTGTGATGCATCAGGCACATACGTTTGCCTACAGCTTCGTTCTAGCTACCTTCCCCAGCGATCAATTCATGATGAACTCGATGACTACAGACAGAGTGGACAGATGGGCTCGTCCGCCCTCGTCTCGGTCTCCCATCTACTTATTCTACTACATCACACCTTTTGAATACGAATACAGATACGAGTTTGGAGGTTCTAAGAACATCATGACTGCACACGGCTGCATCGTTAGCAGTAATGGTAACCTCGTTACCATTCCTCCTAACCATGCCACCGCTCGCAGAGGCCCAGCTTACTTTGCTTAGTCCGCTGGTGCGCGTGAGTGTAGACGCAACACTGTCTGTTCCAACAGGCAAGGTTGTGTAGCTTTATATACATTTAGTGTGAATACGAGGTGCATTGTCCGTGTCATTGATCACATACGAGTGGCATAATCAATTGTCAGTGCCACTCGACATGGAGTAGACGCAACGCGGACAATGCACGAGTGGCTCAGCAGTACAATAGAATTATTCCATAGGAGCAGTAGTACACGGGCACGAGGACACAACACGACATGTGGGTTAGCTTGCGAATTGATTACATCTTATGATTCCTTTCCACATCCAGGGTTACCATGTCGAGGACAACAAGTGAGGCACACAACACTGCGCGGGATCCCTACAACACACAGACCGTACTTACATACAAGCTTGACTTATACAGTTCACGGGGCAGTCTCAAAGCGCTTCAAGCCTCTTGGCCGCCCGCTGGGCCGTCTTCCACGCGCGATCCGCTCCGCGAGCCGTTCGACGACACCACCGTCGCTCAGCCCCTCCTCTTCAAGCGCATGCCGGATCAGCACCTCCATGCTAGCTGCATCCTCGTGGCCATCGCCGCCATCGCCACTGAGACCCGGCAGACGCATGCTCGGAACGGGCACGAGCGGCATCGACCCCGACGCGTAGTGCGGCAGACGTTCGTTCGCGATATCCGACCGCCGCGCGTCGTCGAATGACCGTATGTAGCGCCGCATTTGCGCTGTTTGCACGCCGAGCGCATCCGGGGCAGGTGTAGGCGGAATGAATCCTCCCGGCCACGCGCCTGGTGCCTGCATACCCCCCGGCATCGCGGGCGCGAGCTCAGTGGCGCTCTCCGATTCTTGCCTGCGATGACGTGCTGTGAATACCAAGAGACAGTGACGCGAGAGGGGGGACGTACCGCAAGAGCTGGAATACGCGCTGCATCTTGCCCACGGCCAGGATCTTGTTCTTGATCTCCTGCCGCCGCTCGCTTGGGTGGCCACGCTCCTCATCATCATCATCGGCCTCCGCGACGGCACGCGCACGCTCCTCGTCCTCGTCCGAGCTCGTGTGGCTACTCCCCTCATCCAGCTCTCGGTCAGAGCACACCGAGAGGATCGCGAGCAGCATCTCCGTGATCTTCGCGCCCACGAAGGGCAGCGACCACGTAAATGCGTCCATAAAGTTCGGCAGCCAGTAGGGATGCGAGGACGCGTTAAACTGTCGGATCGTCATGCTCTTGTCCTTGTACCTGATGAGCGCACCCCGGTTGTGGTACGCATCTAGGTAGTTTGGCGCGCTGAACACCGTGATCAGCGATGGGAACTTCTTCGTTGACGTCTTGCGGTACATCGTGTATCTGTGCGCCTGTCTCAGCACATTGCCCCATGGACACAGTGGAAGACCTGCAGTACCCCGCGTCCTGCGCCTCGTGCCCCCTGAAGATCCCGAGTAGTTGGTTCCGTTCTATGAACTGACATGCGGCCTCGTACCTGTAACATGTCAGTAAGCACAGCCATCAAAGCAAGGTAACTCACGTGAAGTAGAAGCTACATCCCCGTGTGTGGTTTGGTTGGAATGTGATGCCGGGCGGGAGCCCATGGGGCGACTCATAGGTGGGCTTGTGCTGCAGCAAGATATCAGTGGAACAGCCTATTGGTGGCATGAGTAGGCCAACTTACCTCTTCGCCGAACCCTGGTATTGGGTCTGACCACAGCAGATCACACAGGAGACCTACTGATGCAGGTTCCACGAAACGATCAATCTGCGAGCATCGATGAGCCTTGTAGGGTAAGCATACATTGCACACACCTTGTTGATATCAGACAGCTTGACTAGCTCAGGCGAAATACCCCCATGCACACAGAAGAACTTGTCGTCGAGCAGTGCCGCGATGGGCAGCGCATGGAACGAGCGGATACATGCCTCATAGATCGTCATGGAGTACTTGTGGAGGCACTCGCGCTTGAAGGTGAAGTACTCTGTGAGATGTCGGCATTCGTGGTTACCCCGCAGTAGGAAGATGCGATCGGGGTACCAGAGCTTAAGAGAATAAAGATACAACAAACACTGCCGCAGCGATGCGATGAGTGGTCTAGAGTGACGTAGTACAGAAGTGGGCGTACCTCGATTCCGAAATAGCCGCGGTCGACATAGTCCCCGAGGAACAGGTAGCTCGTCTCCGCGAACGAGCCACCGACTTCAAATATCTTCATTAGGTCGTACTGCTCGCAGCCGAGTCAGCAATCAAGGCTGTGTCGTGCACCACAAGGACGTACATATTGCCCATGGATGTCACCACAGACTAAAGAGGGACGTCAGTGTACACGTCTGGAAGGGCGAGTAAGCGAGCCGCCGGAAAGCTAACGTAACTGCCCACTAAGGCTGCCCTATGTATCAACAGGGCAACAACAATGGGCTGCCTTGCGAGTGTGAAAGGATGGGGCTCTGGTGGGCGGTGATGATGTCTCTCTGTCGTACTATGCATTGTTCTGAAAATGGTTATGAAACTCGAGGTGTTGCCTCCCGATGTAACGAGACCCTGCGCAGCCTGATCGAACGGCACACTGCTGCTCGTGGAATAGACATGAAGGAAGCAAACGCGACGATCATGCCGTTACGAGTGATGTGTAGGACCAGGGATTATGGAGATGGCTCACGTATTCTAGTTGAATAGAGGCAGAGGGTGGGGCTCACCAGTCACCGGGCCATCAATCTGGAGCATATTGGGCTCCTGCGCAAGGAGAGTAGCTGTTTGTTCGAGTATCCACAACGCCTGCTGTTCGGTCAGCCGTCCCTCTCTGAAAAAGTGGTCCCGGAGAAGCTGGACATTCGGTCTGTGCACGCCCGCCTGCACATCAGGCACGTAGAATTGCTGGTCATCGGGTGTGTGTGTCGCAGGGGGTCTCACCTAACCGCAAGTTGAGCACTATCAAGTTGGAAACGAAGATCGCGTACGTGCTTGACCTGCCGTTCTCGGAGGTCCGGGCCCTCGTAGGCGTGTTTGTGAGGGGTTGGAGTCGTTGCCTCGCGTATTTGATGAAGAGTAGAAGAGTAGTATCTGGGAGACTCTTCGAGACTTGAATGAGACATGAACGGAGGTCGAAGTCAAGGTCAAGGCAGTGCCGGCGTTGCTCAGTTCAGTCACGGTGTTGTAGCGCCCACTTCCCTTACACTTCTTACTATCAACTCACTACCACCAATACCGACTGGCAACTGTCGAACCAATACCGAGCATATCTTTCTTGCCTACATCCTGGTACCAGTACTCAGAATGTGCTCGCAACTGAGGAACACCGAGCGAGCTCCAG